CAATGGCCTAAATGTGGATTTTACCAGTTTCAAAATCTCTCCACCTCTGGCCTCATCCCATGACCAACCCTCCCTCTCATCCCCACCTCCTTGACCTGACTCGACTTGTCCAACTTCTCTCCCACCTATCCGCTCCTCCCACCTCACTGACTAATCCCCACCACTGGCTACCTGCACTCACCTATCACCATCTCACCTACCTTCCCCAGCCCCACCCCTCCTCTCTATTTATTTCCGAGCTCCCTTCCCCCTCCCCCATTTCTGAAAAAGAGTCCCAACCCAAAACGTCAATTTTCCTGCTCCTCTGATGCTGCCCGGCCTGCTGTGTTCCTCCAGCTCCATACTATAATCCAACAGGTTTATTTGAAATCACAAGCTTTTGTAATGCTGCTCCTTCATCAGTAAAGTGAAGAGAAGCAAACAGACAAAATTTATAGGCAGAGAGATCAAAAGATCATACAAATGGGGTGAGTGGAATGTCAACAGACTGAATAGCAAGTGAAGGAATGACCTAATATCTCTCTGCCTCAGTTGGATCATTACAATAAAATAAAAATGGTGTAGACAAACCAAATGGCTGGAACATGATAGGTATAACAGTCACATGCTAATGGTCTAACCAAAATAACAAGTATTTGAAAACTACAAACTAATTAAGGAAAAGCAATCATTAAGTTATCATGGTAATGGTATCAAAACAAGGACAGCTTCTCTTCACTTCATTTGATGAGGAGCAGTGCTCCAAAAGCTTGAGATTTCAAATAAACCTGTTGGACTATAACTTGGTGCCATGTGACTTCTGACCTTGCTACAGTTCAGACAGACCTGGTATGCTCATAAACAGATGTACAGCAAGCAATTAGAAAATGGTACATTAGTCTTTATCTTGCAATTCAATCCCCTGCAATAAATTCTTGCTACAATTGTGTGAAGCTTTGGTAAGCCTGCATCAGAAGCACCATATGCAGTTTTGATCTTTGCATCAATACAAAATATGGACCTACCATCAATGCAACACAGCAAAGGTTCACTAGATTTGTTCCACAAATTAGAGTGTTGCTCCATGAGGACAGGCTGGCGAACTTGGACCTATTACTTGGTAAGATAGCTGAAGGTGGTCACCCCTAATTATGGGGTTTAAAGCACACAGGATCAGCCTCAAAAGTGTTGCACATCTTTGAAAATCATTATTTGAGGATTATGAACATGAATGCTCCTTTGTTAAATATATTTAAGGCTAAGATGAACAGGTTTTTGGTCTCAAGGAATTGAAGGATTTGGGGAATAGGCAAAAAATGAAGTTGAGACAGAAGATCAGCCATTATTATGTTGAACACCACTGCAGACTAGAGGCCCACACGGTCTATTTCATGTTCTTAAAAATGAAATCGCACATTTAAACATCTTCTCAAAATAACACACGTATTGTTTTATGTATGAATACAAGAAGCATGTTCTAAAGTAATGCCCCTTCCCATCTATTTGAATTATTTTAATGTAGCCCACAGACAGGATGATCTATTGGCAAGATGAATGTGTTCTCACAATGCAATTTTTCAGACAGATGGAAATGAAATAGTCACTAATTCAATGCAAATAATTGCACTTAAAAGTCATAGAATACAAAGACGGCATTAGCAAATACCTTTGGGAGTAAAAAGGGTGAAGCTGGCCAGTACCAACAATGTCTGAACAAGATGAACAATTACCTTGAATTTACAAACTAAAATTTATCTCACATGCTTTCCTTAACGATCCTTGGATACAAGGGGAAGTAGTTATTCTTGATTTCTGATCAAACGTTAGGTCAAACTGGCTGGTGCTGAACATTCCCAGTATAAAAAAAAAGGAACATCCCAAATCTTGTTGCACTGAATGGTGCCCATCCCTTCCCTAAACATTTTGGACTAGCCATTACAATTAGCCAGTCTAATTAGCCAGCGTACAAAGCAAAATGCTGGAATCCTATCTCTGCAATTCATTTATAAATGTTCCAAAGGTTTACAAATTGCAGTCGTCTTAAAAGCTAGAAACAAAAATGGTTTCCTAAAGCACTAAGAGGCCCATTTATTTTGTGATACCCCAAATCATTGTATGTTGATACAAACTTGCTTTCAGGAAAAGTAACAATTCTTTATTACACAATGTTTACTTTATTCATATTTGCCAAGAAAACCCCAGTGGACCGTTGCTACATTAAAACTCATTAAAACATTTGCATTTAGTCATACCATGTCCCAAACACTATCTAAATAAGGGGACAAAAGCTATAAACAGAAAACTTCCTTCATCCCATTTTCTGTAGAATGCTTTTGCCAGCTGGGTATAAACAATTAAAAAAATCATTAAAAAGAGTAAGTTCAGTGCTGTTCTATTTATAAATTTACAAAAAAATGTTGCTACCAAAATGTTTTAATACCCCAATTTCCCTGCTGCACATATTAACTTAATTCAATCACAAATGCAAGCTGCCCCAAAGTTACTGTAGTTTCTTCAACTACACAAAATATTTTTCACTGGTTTTATCTGTAATCTTCAGAAAAGCATTTTCCATAGGTTCAAAAAAACCTATGATTCACATTGGTTTCGGATTTACACTTTTTTTAAGCTCTAGACCTTGTAATGTTCTAAAAAAACTCAACAGTATAAAAAAAGCCCTGAACTGATGTCGTGTGTACAAAAAGAAATTAACAAAATATCTAAAATACAAATTACTGAAATACAAAAATAGTTTGAATTTCTAGATATTAAGTTCAACATAGGCAGCAATGAGTTTTTGAAGATGTCATCTTGCAGGATGATCACATTACTGCACAGCTTCTGTCAGCTGCTCTTGGATCTCCCTGAAAAAGAAACCCACTATATAAGCTTCATGTTTTAAAGGAACAATTGCTCACTGTCAATAAAATTAACAGCAAGTTCATTACCTTCAAATTGTAGTTTTATTCAGTTTATTTTTAAACTAGAACTTTTTTTATAGCCTCAAACAGCAATACAATGCTTTGCATTAATATAGTCCTTTCACAATTCTTCATGAAAGCATAACCTGAGCAGTATTAATATCTCCTTAGTTTCCAGAACCAATAGCTTGATCAGGTAGTGAGTTTAGATAAAATCTCCTGGCATGGAGGATTGTCTTATCAGCAAAGGTTAAACAGGTTGGGATCTCCATTGAAGTGTACAGGATTGATAAAGGCACAAGATATGGTAAATGCTGAGACGATGGCTACCCTCAACGTAGAGTCTAAGACCACAGGGCTCATAATTTTTCGGTGCCAATTTAACACTGAGATGAGATGAGAAGGGATTCCTTCTCTCAGAGGGTTGAGTTTCTTTGGAACTCCTTGCCTCAGAGCACTGTGGGGGCAGAGTCCTTGTTAATCCTTAAGACTGAAACAGATAGATTCTTGATTAGTAGGGGAAGCAAGGGTTATGGGGAGAAAAGGTAGGAAAGCAGATGCAAGGAATGTTAGATACATCACGATCCTGTTGAATGGCAGAGCATACTTGAGGACCCATACTGCCTGGTCATATTCCTATTTCTTACTGTCTTATAATTACGCCAGAAATTATGGTTTACAGTTAGGTTAGATAGAGTAAGAACAGATAAATGGTTTAAATCTGTGCTGTCTGGTTATAAATGATTGGCAAGAGAGTCAGAGGTAACAAAGGGAAAAAAAGGAGGGTGCATTCCAAACTTCAAATCCAAGACATGATGTAACATGATGTAACATGATGTAACATGATGTAACATGAT